CTCCCCACCCAGCCCTTCTGCCGGCAGCCTGGGGAGCGAAGTGCTGTAGAACAGGACAGCTTTTCCATTTGTTTACTGACCAACCTCCTTTACTGCTTGGGAAAGGGAGGGAATGTGTTTAAACTCAAATTTATTGCTTTGGCAAAGCTGGGCTGGCAGTTTGGGCTGTAATATATAGATCTTCCTCATTTATTATTCTGTCTTGTGAATCATATTAAAAATAAATGAAAACTAAATTTCATGCCCTATGCCTGCCAAATGAGGGAAAATTAGGTGACCCAATTATGTCCATTTGCAATGTGTTGGATGCAGCAGGACAGGCTTGTAAGATTTAGTCTTTTAACACAGTTTAGTGAAGAATGTAATCATTTCAGACTAAAACTACAGCTTTTGAAATGCACAGGTTAGTCTTTTTCATGAGAAAGGAATTGAATAATGGCATTGGAGAGTAGAACTGTGCTTAGCTGCAAAATAGATAAGGTATTGGCAGCCCAAACATTCCTGTTGGCTTTGCACATCTGCCTCACCCTTACCTGGAGAGACCAGTTCCAGACTTGATAGAACAGTGCATTCTGTATGGCTTCATCAGCCTTTGGCAACTCTTCCTTTACTGCAGGTAATTCAGGATACGATTACCAGAAATTCAGCTGAGACCCCAGCATTTCTTCGCTTAGGCCAGTAAGTATCAGTGAACGCGTAACTGGGCTTCTGAATAGCTTTGGCTATTCGTTCTTTTGAATAAACAGCTTTTCAGTTGAGTTCTGTTAATGCTGTGGTGATTCCTTCAGTCCGATACACAGCAGTTCTTGATTTTCTATCTCCCTGTCTGGCTTTTTGTGCTGAAAATACAGATTGAAATGTTATCTTTCAGGGAATGTTTCTCCTATGCAATATAATACATCTGGCAAGAAGAGGTAAATAAATTAATTCTGTGTTTTAACTATAAACACTAGGATTCATTAGGGCTGTTGATAAAAGTTTGTTTATGATGTATGGGATGTGCAAAATTTGTTTTTATCTTTGCCGATTCAACTGCCAGCATCCTGCATTTGGCATGTTGCATCCTGATGCTGGTTCAGTTCCCTTATGCTGTTGTAATTCAGTGACATGTACTTTAAAAACACGTTTTTCAATTAGCGTGCCTTACATTTTAGCTTAAAAACTCATTTAACCTAGCAATGTTTGGAGAAACAGGATGATCTCTTAAGTGATAGAACCTAAAGCTACGACTTTGACCTTTTTCCATCTCCCATATGGATACTTCTGAACTTGTAAACATTAGTTCATTGCTTTTAAGTTTTTCTGTATGTTAAAAAAATACTCTAGCAATCTCTGACCCAAGTGAAAACCATTGTAAGGAGGTGGAATTATTTAGGACAGAAGGATAAGGATGGATTGAAACTGGAGTCTTTGTGCTTAGACTAGTTTTCATTTCATTTCCGTGGTAAAGGACCATGGTTTTTATCTGTTCTTAAATCCTGGCTGGGAAAGTAAGCCCATTGGGGCAAGAAGAATTTTGATTGTAAGTTTGAGAAATGGTTTTATATTCTTGTAGTCCAGTGACACCTGAGTTGTAAAGTGTTTGGTTATTTTTTTTTTTCCTCATACTCGTGGGAGTCCATGGTATGAATTAAGCTTTGACAGAACCTCGTGACCAGGAGAAAATCAAAATCTTGCTTTCCGTGGTAGAAGTGCTGATTGGTGTGACGCCCCCAAGAGCTGTTTGTAGTACCTGTGTAAGTGTCGAGAGGCTGGTGTGAGGGTAAAGTGCTACAGAGCTCCCCGAGTCCTGCAGACTAAATGAAGCAGTCACCCCTTGTTTAGGCAGAGACAAAAAATTGGAACTGAGCATAGGCAAAATAAACAACGTTCTGACCTTGCAGGAACAGAAGGTGGAAGAGGTGAGCAAAGAACCAGAATTCAGGGCTGGTAATTGCAACTGAGGTGAAGCATTATCTGACCTGAAAAACGCCTCGGGGATGGATCTTTGTGTAGCACACAGGTCTATTGGGACTCAAGATTGCGAGCAGAACTCGTGTTAGTACTGATTCAGCTGTTCCTCAGCTGTCTTGCTAAACTCTTTCTCATATTTTGCACTTCTTCCCTCCCACCCCCAAAATACAGTTGCAAAATATTTTTAGATCTTATTTCTTAGGGTTCGTTAGAGATGAATGTGGAAATGTTGATGTGTGATTGAAAATGTTGGAAGTCTGAGCTGCTGTTTAGAATAGGTAGGAACAAGTTGGTAGGAGAACCTTTGTGTGGCTTTGGACTGGCCGCCAGGCTTTTTAGTCTTATTTTGTTCTCATACTTTTAAGAAAAAGTAATGAAACCTGATTTTTTTTTTTTTATTTATTTACTCCAGTCTTTTTTGGAGCCTTTAGCAGTAAAGGTGCTTGTTATTCAGAGGATGTACCCTATGGTTTAGCAGAGAAGTTCTCAAGTTCTGGTGTGCAAGCTTGCTGTTCCACCCGTGTGCTTGCTGTGACAGTGGTGAGGTGAGCTCAGCTGGGGGCAGCCACATGGGTCGGACAAAGACAGCAAGTTTTGAGTGCTGCTGCTGGCTTACAAGACTTTTGCTTGGAAGTGAAGCTGTCTATGATAAAAGCCTTCTGGCTGGTCCTGAAAATGGCCTGTGGAGACTGTTTTGGTTCTTGGCTGAATTCTTCTGAATTTATAGGGTTAGGAAAACATTTGATCTTTCTGTTTTCATTTGCATTTGGTGTTAAATATAACAAATGCATAGATTACTATTATTTGCAATTTGGGGTGTGCGTGGGGAATTTTAATGGTAACTATGAATATGCTGTTACTGTCAGTAGGACAGAGTGCATCTCAAAGTGGTTACTTCCCATGCTCTAATCCTTTCCTTTAAGAAGGAGTTCACACAGTTGTGTGGTGAGTATTTGTACAGTGGTGGTGGGGGGGGTGTCTTTGAAGTCCATAGAAATGAGAACAGCAATTAGTTACTGCAAACGGTCCTGTTGTCAGTGCTGTAGATAATCTTTCCTGGGATTGCATTGCATATTTAGAGGGCAAGAACAGTGGAACTAATTAGTGAGGTAGGGCTTAAATAATCCTTTCAGAGCAGGCAATTTCTCTCCTCTGGAGAGGTGAAATGATTCTTTTAAGCCATTGATAAAGCTTAGCTGCCTCCAACACTTGTTAGTAAGAGACACTGTAAAGAAGCTCTGAGTGAAGCTAGCAGGTATTTTGGATTCAGTGTTTCTCTGATGAACCTGGTGCACAGAACAGTTGAGTAGCTCTAGCTACTCCTGTCTTGTTTCTCTCCTAGTAATGACATCTGCATGGGATGGTGAACAACCATGAAAGAAATTGAATTAGTCTAGGTCTGCCTTTGCTTGTTGACCACACACACACACACGCACAAAAAGAGTATGTTTGATAAATTTAAGCTGGACTTTATTAACCAATGGCACAGGTATGCATATCTTCCCTAATCAGAAACTCTTCATTAAGTACAGCAACTTTTGCTATTAATTACATGATTCTAGCTGCGATGCTGTCCTGAGTGGCAGGCACTTGCTATTTCATTGCACGTTACAGTGGGCTTGAACTGTCACTTCATTTGTGAGATTGACCTGCTTTTCGTAGAGGCTGATGTGATGGATAGGGCGAGTTATAAATTCTTACCATGCCTTGATACCCAGTGTCAGTTGTAAAATATGTTCAGAAATGTCATGAGTCTTAAAAAAAAAAAAAAAGTCTGTAACTGTTAGCTGTTGGTGACTGAACAGTGAGGTTGGTCTGAAAAATTCTGCGCAAAGGGTTTTCCAGGCCAGCTTTCAAGTGCCAGTCTTCATAATTGCTATACTCAGATAACATATGCGCAGTTGAAAACAGTAATTTTGGTCAAAATCAGCATGCTTTACATTTCTCCCTAGTTTTCCTCAACTCTTTGGGAAGTGATGCTTTTTTTTTTTTTTTTAAACTAGAAGAAATTACATGTCACGACGTTTATTGGTTTTTCCAGGGAGTTGGGTTTTATGCTGAAAGCTTCTTAAAGAATGCAAAGCTTGAATGCATTCCATTCTCAAGTGACTGGGAATGTCATTGGTATGGTTAGGGTGTAAATCCTGCAGATGAAGAACAGCCTGACCTTTAAAAAACTTATTCTTTAAGAATAAAAAGGGTCTACAAACTCCAGACAAGCCTACAGTTTTATGAATTTTGGCTAGACCGTGTTCTAAAGCAGAGAGATTCAAAGCATATTGAATGAAGGGTCTTTCTGGTTTTCAGCTTTGTATATTTCTGTAATGCTTTGCTCATTTGTTTTCACAGGGCAGTTTCCTTGTACATTTTTTCCAGCTACGATCATTAATCAGGACTGAGCACGTGGGTTATCTGATCTTCTGTGGTTTTTAGAAGCAGGTACGTTGGCAGGGAAATCTCTGATGTTTTATTGGTTGGGGATGGGGGACGATGACTTCATCTATGTGCCAGGAAGAATTGTAGGGTTAGGGAAATTCTGCTTAAGTAACGTTTCATTATGTGTAGCATGTTAATGTAGCTTTCTTGAGAAAGGGAAGTTGATAAGTACTTCGATAAGATTTTTCAGTGCTTCATTTGTAAAGATGGATTGTGCTGTCTTCTGGGTATAGACTAGCTTTGTAAGCGGTTTTAGAAATTCACTGGTGTAATATATGCTGGGTAGTATTGTCATCCTAAACCATGTCTTACAAAAGCTTTATGTAACAGGAACAGAGAGATGTTAAAGGTTTTTCATGCTGGGGGTCTCAGTACTGTCTTAAGACTTTTGTCTTTCTGCTTTGATGTCAGCAATTAGGAAAAGCTGTAGCGGCTGAGGCTATCACTCCAAATAACTGTGCAGTGTATCAAAAGCAAAGCGCTGTTGCTCTGTAATCTTAATTTAACCTCTTTATACATATATTTTGATAGCTTTTGAGCCATACTGAAAGCTTTTTCCCCCATGTTGCTTACTAACTTTCTGAAGCATTCGCTGAATGGGCAGGCTTTAGTATTTTTTCCTTACTATTAAATAGGTAGCTTCATGATAAATCCGTCTTGGCTAAAGTTTACTTTAAAAGAACCAGGTTTAGATAGGAATTTCCATCACCCCTTCTTAAAGTTTGAAAAATTAATAAACAACTGGAAGATTATTATGATGGAAAACAATGAATAGGATGTATAGACATGTATAAACATGTATAGACTACAAATCTCTTGTAATATCTGATGTGTAGAGGAATGCTGAAATGTGGTGTTCCTAGCTGGCATGGGGGCAGCCCTGACATTTGCTTGGTGCTTGTGTATGGTGCCACCTATTGATAGATATCACATATAATTTGTTCCATTTTTAAACGATACATGTGTTAACCACATTTCAGGTTTTTGCTGTTGTGCTTTTTCTTTTCTAAACTGATTTCTTTGGCTACTAGTACAGCACTCTCCCTCTTCAAGTAACAATATTAAAAAAAAAAAGGGGGGGGGAGGAGAGAAAAAGGTATGTATTAGTATAATATTAAGAATCAGTCACAACCTTTCAGATTTACTTAGGATCTTGATAAATGTTTTATTGTTCTATCAGTCTCTGGATATGCATAACTTAATGTCTTTTGCTCACTGTCTTATTTTGTTCATTGTCTTACTATTGACATCACTTGTTAGCACTCAGTAAATTGCACTGTGGAATATATGCTTAATAACATAATCCAATCTACTTATTTGAGTTGACAATACACAAAAATATGGGATTATTTTATTCCCCCTTCAGAAGGCAGCTTGCTGATTATAGCAAAAAAATATGATCACCTTGCACATTTATGGGCTGCAAGTTTCCAAGCAGAACCATCTATAGCAAATCAGCATAATGCAAATCTTCCCACTGGAAACTTAGTCAAGTAGGACTGGTGATATAGCTTTCTCCACTTTTTACTAGTGTTATCTTCATGCTAAGTAATGTGGGTGGTAAAGCCTATCCCAGCAGCTGCTACTTAAGTTTGCATTTCTTCTGACTCACTCAGGAGGGCCTATGTATAATTTTAAACTGTTTCCACACCCAGATTACTTTCCCTCAAAAGTAATAATGAAAATAAAGTGAGGGGAGAGGTCGGTAATGACCCAGGAAAACATTACATGGAAAACAGTGTGTTTGAACCTGCTGTGATACAGTCTTCACTAAGCATGCCTCACGTGTAGTGTATTTCTTTTGGTTACTAAGGTTCAGGAAAGCAGATTTATAGCTTAGCATAGGACCAGACCCAGTTCTGTGAATGAAAACTGACTGGAGAACTGTTCTGGAGCCACTTCTCCGAGCTGCGCGTGGTGGGAGAGTGGCTGGCTTACAGCTCCAGCCACGGATTCCTGAGCAGGGGTTACGTTTCTCCAACACACGGTACTTCTAAGAGGTTAGTTTAGTTTGTCACGCTGCTGTACTAGTGTATTATTTGAAGCACCATTATTTTCTAAATTTGAAGTTAATGTTTTTGCTATTGTTGACTTAATAAACATGCTCCAAGATAATTTTTAATAGCAGCTGAAGAGTATGCCTGAACTTTTTTTTTTGTCTTGGTAAACACCCTGTTGTGGAACTTAAATAATTACCAGGTACTTGGACAACAAAGTATGATCATGCTCTGCACTATAGTATTTAGATAGCGTAGTCTGTTTATTCCATAACGTAATTATTTTTTAATTAAAATAGAAAAGCAAAACTTCAGCTTTTAAATGCTATGAGAAAGGATGATAAACTCTACTCCTTCCCTGCTCCTCTTAGCTCTTCTTTCTCTCCAAAGCCATTTAATAAGTTTTATTAACTTTTACAAAAGTTAATAAAAAGTTAAAAGATATAAAAAGGAAAAAAGAAAAAAGAGAGAGGAGAAAGACTTAAGAGCTTAGATTTCATCCAGCTTTTGTTCAGCCATTGCAGGCTTGATGTCTGTGCATTCTGCATCCTGTTTTCATACTGATTGTGCTTATTTATGGGGGAAAAAAACCCAAAACCACAGACTGTTCTGTCAGGGTGATTCTTTCATCTAGCTGTTAGAATTCTTTTTCTACTCATGCCGTAATGTAACAACAGATAATGAGCTAGTAGGGATGTGAACATCAGCCTCTTTGAATGTTTGAGTTGCATATGTAAGGCCCAATTTAGCTGTTCAGATTTTTAAGGATTTCTCTGATGAAGTATGTGATTGCTCTCCCAGGCTATTAAGTTGCCTGAAAAACGGGTGGTGAAAATAGGCCCACTGGTGAAAAATAGGTATTTTGGAAATTAAACTTTTCCTATTATTCCTATTATACTCTATTACCTATTTTCCTTTGGTTTTTTTCTGATCTTCTATCTTCAGGAAATCCAGGAGCTGGCAGGAGGGGAATGAACCGTGAGGGCGTCCCCGGAAAGAGTCCGGAGGAGATGTATATTCAGCAGAAAGTGAGAGTCCTACTCATGCTGAGGAAGATGGGATCAAATGTAAGATGCACTGTCATAGCCCATATTTTGTGGCTTTCCAGACAGTTTTGTAGTAACTGGGATAGTGCTTACTGAGATGGGCAGGTGGTGGTCTGGTTTTATCACTGAATTGTTTCAGCTGTCATTGATTTAACCATTATCTGCAGTTAAACACAATTGATTTTTGCTTAAATATTATGAGGCTTGCAATGCCTGAAACGAAATCTGAGCATCTGATCATTTCTCTATATACAGTAAAGTTTTTCATTATTGGAAAAATGGCAAAATAAAGCAACTATTTTAAGGCGGCTTTGAATCTCTCCGTGAATGCATGAGGTACCAGTTTGCTGCTGCGTCCTCGTTGATGGTATAGTTTGCACAAATAACAGTTGATCAAACTTTTGAAGAGTAGAATAGAGGCAACTGTGATGTTTCTCATTGGGAAGTGGGAGATATCTTCAGTCTTTCTTCGTTTTCCTTTTTGCTGACCGACTCTTTGTACGTTTCCAGCTGACTGCTAGTGAAGAGGAGTTCTTGCGCACATATGCAGGTGTAGTGAATAGCCAACTTAGCCAGCTTCCTCAACACTCAATTGATCAGGGTGAGTACTGGGTTTGTTTGCCTTGTGTTTATTTAATCTGTGAGAACAGTCTCAGGAAATACCAAATTTAGGTTCCTGTATTTCTGTAATAATATGCCACCTACTTAAACCCATCCTGAAATCTGGGATATGCAAGTCATTGCCTGCTGTTATCTTTGGAAGAGGACTAGAGTGTACTGTTCAACAGGTGGTTTTATTTTAACAGGTAAATTCAGTCTTGGCTATACCTAAGATTCGTTAATATGAAGAGCATTGTTAAACATCTTATTCTCCATGATAACTCAAAACATTGATGACCAAAGTCCTGTGAACTAAATGCACATATATAGCTTTCTATTCTATGTAATACATTAAATACAAATAAATTTTAACCTGATTGATTTTTTTGCTATAGGTGAAGTTAAATTCAGGTATGCATAAGTCTCTCTAGTTCTGAGTGTGTCTTACTGTATGCAGTATGGATCGATCCTCTGCATAAGACTACTTTCATCTAAATTTTTATATTTATTCTTAAACTGGACATCTGTACTTTTAAAAGCAACAAGACTGGGGGTGGCAAGCACTTTCTTTGTATGCTTCAAACTGGGAGTTTTATAACGAAATAAAACGTAAAGTAGATGGAGGTTTCTAAGGTACAAAAGCAATTTGTTATGCATATGATAATTTAGTTACTATGACTCTAGTTGCCTGATAACACTTTCTCACAAAATAAAATGGAATCATCTAACAACATCTTTTGTTTTTCACATTTCTGTGAATGCGAAGAGAAGTGCAATGTTGTTATTTCAGCAGAGTAAGAGGGAAAGTTTTTAGCTATAGGAGGAATTTGTTTCCCATTGCATTTCTTTAATTTGCACAGCATAATTAATTAATTCCCAGGCAGGGGTAGTAGACATGAAATAAGTTTAAAAATCTGCTTTGGTTTGTTTAGATTCCCATTAAGGGGATGAAGTACATGCTGCTTTTGTGAATTCTTTGTAGAAGTCTTGGTGAACAATTGTGTGGCGCTACTCTGAATCTACTAATCTCTTCTGAACCTGAATGTTTCTTTCTGAATTTTTTTTTCTCCCCTTCATAGGCCTCGTGCCAGATCACATTCATAACAGAGAATTTGGTATTGAAGGAAAATTGTAAGACTTGTGTGCCAGAAAGAACTGAGTTGAGCAGAAATTTAATATAGATCTAAGACATTTAGAAAACCATTAGAAACACAACCTGCACAAACTTGCTCTTCAGTTTTAAGCCTGTGTGTTCATTCCTCGCATAGCTGGGGGATTGATGGAGATAGATATACTTGTATATTTTGGCTCAGAATTCTTAAACTTTTCTGCCAGTCTAAAGTGAAAATTTGCTGGTTTCTCATCAAAAAATGAGGTAGACATATTCAGTTAGGAAAGGCTGTCTTAGTTGCAGTTAGCATTTTTCAGCGTTATCCCTAAAGTAGTTACACTTCTCACAATGAAAATATATGCTGAATTACCTGCCCTTTGGCAAAGAAATGATAATAAAAACGGAAGTCCAGCGGGGACACACAGATACTTTGTACAGCTGTGTTCCTGCACAGCTTGATCTAACTTTCTTGTCTAAACTGTCTGGCTTTATTATCTGTAAAATTATATTTTCTCACTTTGCAGAGGGCTTTGGAGACTCAAAAAATTGAATTTTGACATAACTTTTAAATGTAATCAAAAGAGAGACCAACAGTTACTTAGTCTGCTTCTAGACTCACTAATCATGCAATGCAGGAAATGTAAGAGCTTCATACATTGTTCAAAAAGTTGCCTTTGACCCATATTTGAACAGATGCAAACTGATTTCTCTCTCATCATTTTCTTAAAGTCCTTGAAGATGCTTAAAACTTTGTCCACAGGAAAGTGAAGTCCTCCCTGTTGATGCTTGCTTTGATCTAATCTGAGACACTGCTGTCTTTCCTGGGAGATTTGACCCCACGTTCTACCTTCGATCCTCCCAAATTATTGTTAAGCTGGTGGTCTGACCATTAAGATTTTTCTTGCTAGGGGAAAAAAGAACAAAGAAGGAAAATGATTAAATATTTAGAGAAGTGGGAAAGGATGTTGGTTCTTTTCATATTCACATACGCTATCTCTCCAAATTAAGAAGTGAATAGCATGAAGAACAAATGAAAATGACGAAGCCTAGCCAAATACTTTTCCCTTTGGAGAAAGATGAAGCTATAGTATGCTGTATAGACATAAGCAACTATAATTTATTGCTGAGGACTTTGATTTCCTTAGAAATCTCTCCAGACTTCTAACAGTCAGTTAAGCTAGCGTTGCTCTTTCCTCTTCGGTGTGGTGGCTCACGCAGCAGCAGTCATTGCCGTCTGTCTGTACCTTTTGCTGTATCCTGGTGCTGGTGAAACAGGAAGGGTCGATTATGAAAGTATTGGAAATAGAGAATACAAATTCATATGCCATCCCAATTTGCCATCTTAAGGGAGATTCCATCTCCACTAGATGGCATTATCTTGTGCTGAAAAACCCTGTCCCAGGTCCACACACAGAGGTGCTTAAATGTTTTGTGTTCTTCAAGATTGCTTAAAGGAGTTTTCTTCCCTCCTTTTCTGCTGTTTTCATTGAATCTCCTCTGGAGGATTTTTTTTTTTTCCCCTTTATGCAACTTGCCTTACACAACAACTAAAAGGTGTGTTATTTAAGGAGTAACTTACAAAGAGTTAGTATGTTAGTGGATTTCACAGTCTTTTTTTCCAGTAGTAGGACACACCGTTCTCAGCCTAACTTGTCCCAGGCCTGTCTTTAGAGTCATTTTCCTCCAGCAGGCATGCAAAAGACAGAAAGCTGATTTCATACCTCCGTTTCATTCCAAAAAAGGGAATGACATTCTTGGCCTTAGCACTCTAAAAGCTTTGTTACAGACCCGCAGATTTTTGTGTGTCACTTAAAAATCTGTAGTCTGGCTCCAGAATTACAGGAAGGTAGTTCTGTTTCTTTTTTTGAGAAGAGTATTGAGGAGGGATGGTCTAGAATTTTGTAAGTGTATCACGGTCTCTATTACAATTTTTATGCTTTTCTTTGTTGTGCATCCATGAAATGCTGTCTTAGAACAGCTGGCCGGTGGCCTCGTGGTAATTACCTGAGGCAGGACTGCTGAGCTTATCACGGTATGGTGCTCCCTACTATGGTTTCTGATAAAGATCTGTCAGCTGCTTTGTGGAGTCGGTTTGACCACAGGGAGTCACTGCAACCTATGTGTCCAATATATATTTGCAGCAAGGTGACAGTGCATTGAAGAAAGAAGTTTACACTTGTCCCTGCTGAATTCAAGTGCTTGTGCCATAAACCTTCCGTGAGCTGCTATTAATAACAATATCTCTGACATTTAAAGTTCCTCCATGATACTCTGCTTACTGTCTTAGAGTTCAGCAATACAAGTTCATTGATAATTTTGATCAAGAAGCATCTTGGAATACCTCTGTAATTTCTAAGCAAGCCTGAAGTCTAGGACTCCCCTTCAGCTTGTGCTTATTTTTATAGGAAGTGGAGAAATTAAACTCTTTATCTTTTTATTTCAGACGCACAAAATCACTGTAGTTTAGGATTGTTTACGGATCTCCTTTTACATTTGGAACACCTTCACTCTTGCAGCATCTACATTGTATGCTGTTGAAGTGAATCTTGTTTTCCTGACAGGAAGCTCAAAGTTATTCTGATTGCGTTACTGAATATCTTTGTATAAATCAGGTAATAATGACATATGTCCAGGGCTCTCTAATGTGCTCTAACAGATATCACATTGAAATTAGTGCAAATCTTTCTAATACGTGTTCTAAACTCTTTACATTCATAGCTGCAACATATATTAGAGCAACAGATCTGTGAAGGGATCTTGAATGACCAGAACATGTACTTCAGTCTTAAAATAGTCATCGGTTTTGGGGTTTTTTTCTTTTTAAATTCCAGCTCTATTTGCCCTTTCTTTTCAGTGTATTTCAGAATCTCAGGACGTGCTTAGTCCCTCAGTGTGTTGACTTTGATGCATGTCCCTAGAGGTGCTGTTTCCCTAACACAAGCTACAGTCCACCAAGAGCAAGGAACGTTTAGGCAATTCGGATGTCTGGATTCTGTTCGTAGCTTGATAGTGTAGCTAGTTTTATTAATACTTTGGCCTGTTCACCCATTCTCTTCTTCAGCTGATCCAGACAGTTGTGTTGCATCCGTGACAGTTACGAGGCTTATCTGATGTATTAAAAATACTTTATTATCCATTGGAAGATAAACTGCTAGCAGAGGGGATGAGATCTCAGTAACCCAGGAAAGCCTGAACAACAGTTATAAAACTCTAAGCTGAAGTATTTAATACTTAAATTTAGTATTAATTAAGAGACTAAACATTAATGTCATGCTCACATTTTTTTTTATAACCATTTTTTTTTCGGTCATTGCTGTAATGTTGTTAACACCTATACGAAAGTGCAAAATACAGGGCATTTTTCTTTACTCAAGGAGCTTTTTAGCTGACATCTGTGGGTTGTTTGTTTTGTTTTTATGGCTCCAAGAATAACTGAGGAACCCAAAGGCACCTCTGTTCAACCAGTATATATGCTAGAGAGTGGATGTAATCATGAGCTGTTTTGAGATATTAACATATTAGTCCTCTTCCCTGCATTGCAGCAAGAAGTAACGCAGCTCAGACTCATTAGATTTCTTGAGCTTGAAATGATGAAATTAAGGCTTTCTCACATATTTTTAATACAAGCTAAATGCCTCTCAGGAAGTTATATGCACAGAAGCATCTCCTGCATAAAAAACATATTTCCTGTTTCCCAGTTACTTACATTTCTAAATGGTAGGCTAGCACTTGGCTTTCTTAAGTCGCTGCTCTGGCAAATCTGTAAATGGAAGCTGTGCAGCTAGTAAGCGTGATATGTGAATTATACTAAGACCTTGGTGATTACAGCTCTGTTGTTCCTATAGCAACAGAAGTGTCGTGCTGGTTCTTGAAGAAAGCTGGTCCCTTGG